TTTTTTTTGGCAGGACTGGAGTTTAAACACAGGGTTTATGTACTTGCTGGGTAGGTGCTCTACCGATTGAGCCATGTTTCCAGCCCTTTTGGCTCTGGTTATTTTGGAGATAGGGTCTTGCTTTTTGACCATGCCAGCCTGGACCTCAATCCTCCTATTTTAAGCTTCCTGCTATAGCTGGGATGCTAAGCCCATGCCACATCCAGCATTTTTCCATTGAGATGGGATCTCAAAGTTTTTGTCCAGGCTGGCTTCAAACCTCTATCTTCCTGGTCTCAGCCTCCCAAGTGGTTAGGACTATAAGCGTGAGCCACCAATGCCTGATTTCAACTAAATCTTAACAATGTAACGATGTAAAATATTTAATTATGTTAGATGTGATGAGTAAAGTTAGAATATTCAAACTTAAATGGAATAGGTAAGGGAGAAGAAAATGGACCACAAATTTATGTAAGATTATTTTTCTAATGGAAATAAGATAAGCTTGTGGATTTAAAAAAATACTAAAATAAAAGTACAATTTTCTTCTCAAAAGAGAAAGAGGATTATTGTTTCCATAAAGTGCTAAGAATGTATTCCTATAGCTCTTTCCCTCTAAAGAGTTAGGATGTCGGAATAATACTAATTGAATGATTATGCAATTGCATAACAACTTTGGCTAAAAATATTTTCCAGATGTTTCCATATTGAAGGGCAGGGACAGTCAAAAGAGCTTAATCTTCTTACATCTACCCTCTTCCCACACATTGTCATTTCAAACATAGCTATTGTGTGTATAATCTATGATGTGTACAATCACATATCATGTGTATTATGATGTGTATAATCTATAATCTATGTATTGGTCTTACATAGACTACACTCAATTTAAGGCAATATAAATTTTTTAATCATCTGATAATACTTAGTCTTCAATTAATTATGTAAACAAGGAGGGGGAAATAAAGTCAACTGTAGTGAGTAGACAGACTGGCCCTGTGCTCAGGCTTGAGCCCAGATACTGCCTGAGTGGCTTCGGACAGCTGTGGGAACAGCAGGGAAACATTCCCTGTACTACCTTCCCCGTGCCCAGCAGATAGACCTGTTGGGGCTGCTGCAGCCACTGCTTCCAGAGCAAGCTACTTCCTCTGTCCCTCTGCTGTCTCTAATGCTTTTTGGTAGTACTGGGGTTTGAACTCCGGTCTTTGAGCTTGCTAGACTAGAGTTCAAACACTTGAGCCAACCTATCTGGTTATTTAGAGATGGGATCTTGCTTTTTGTCCATACTGACCTGGACTGCGATCCTCCTGTTTTATGCTTCCTGCCTTCACTGGGATGTCAGGCTTGTACCACCATGTCTAGATTTTTTCCATTGAAATGGTGTCTCACAAACGTTTTTTGGCTTGGCTGGCCTGGAGCTACAATCGTCAGTATCTTACCCTCCCATGTAGCTTGGGATGACAGGCACATGCCACTGTGCCCAGCTACTGATTGAATTGAGTCTCGAAAACTATTCTCCCTGGGCTGGCCTTGTACTGCAATCCTTCTGATCCCAGCCTCCCAAGTAGCTAGGATTACAAGTGTGAGCCAATGGCATCTGGCCAACTTACTTTCTTTTTTTAAACTGAGAAACTCTTAAAGATTAACAACAGCAAATTCTAACTCAGTTACTTGCTTCCTAAGGTATAGAAGAATATGTTCTGAAACATTTTTTTTTTTTGGTAGAAAAGTTTCCTGAGCATAAGTTCCTAGCCCCTCCAGAGATGAATTTTAAAGATTTCATTTTGTTGGCTCAGTATCAGAGGAAATCCTGATAAAAATAGTACAATGCACAATTGCAAGTCAGCAGACATTTATTAAGTACCTGTGATGTGCTAGACCCTGGTGAAATGATAGCAAACACTATGGCTTAATAAGCGCTTAGATGGTCATTGTTATTACTCCCATTTTACACAGTAAACTGAGGCACAGAGAAGTTAAAGAACTCAGACATGTCACAGAACTAGGTAGGACACAGTTTTCCCCTTTCACCTAGAAGTGAGATAACTTTCCAAAGGTCACACAGCAAGTAAGAGGTTGAGCCAGGCAATCTAGCCCAGAGCTCCACACTCAAGCTTTAAATAGGTTCCAAACTGAATCCTACCCTCTTCATCTACAGCTACATGACTTTGGGGAATTTACTTTTGCTCTCAGAGTCCTCCTTTCCTCATCTATAAGTGAAGATAACAACATCTACTTTCAGAATCTTGTAAGAACATGTAAATAATGCATGTAAAGTGATTAGCATGGTGCCTGGCAGGCATTATTATTACTAGGAACTTGTTCATCTAAATGCGAAATTGTTCTGTATGTACTAGTGTGGCCATCCCAGTTTGTTTTTTTCCGCTGGTGGTACCAGGGTTTGAACTCAAGGTCTCAGGCTTGCTAGGCAGGTGCTCTACTACTTGAGCCACTCCACCAGCCCCCTAGTCATTACATATTGAAATGTTCCCCTGAGAGTTGACTGAATTCCTTTCCCCAGCCCCTCAAGTGCCCATTTCATGCCATCCAGCCCTTTCTGTAAAAGCTTCCGGTGCCCTGTTCTGAGGGTTAGTACCTGTGTCCTACCAGTCATCATGTACTTTCACTATGAAACAGGCTCCTGCCTTCAGTGAGGGCATAGTCTGGGAGGGACACTGGGGATGACAGGAGAAAGTGCAAGTGGGTCAGAAAGGCTTTGGGGAAGGCAAGAGACTATCACTATCAAGATCCTCTTTGGGTGGGTGAGGGGGACATCACAGTTTATCACCGGAGTTTTTTTTCTCTTGCTTTTTTCACTCTTATTACCTCCACTTAGTTGAGGCCTTCATAACCCTTTGCCTAAATACTCACAAGAGCTTACAATTAAATGGTCTTCTGTGCAGCGATTATTTGAGAAGCCATTCTGTGATTCTCTTGCTTGGCAAGCTTTAGTAGGTTCCCGTGGCCCTATCTCCTCATTGAGGCATCCATCACCGACTCTCATGCAGCCCAGCCTTAGTTTCCAATCTTTTCCACTTACATCTGGGCAAGTGCTGGTACACCTCCAAATGAGATGTTCCTTGCATCAGACTCTTGCCCTGTTGTTTAGATACTGAGGATCCTACCTCAAGGGTTTTCCACACCCTCCTCAAATATACCTTCTTTGCTAACACTTTTTTCCACCTATGTCCCTTTCTTCTCCAGTCTCTTTTCCCAACCCAAGTTCATGTGTGGGGTAATGGGTTCTAATAACATTGCTAGCTTATTATGCCAGGTGCTGTGCTAACAGTTTTGCATGTGTTATCTTGTTTTGTCCTCACAAAGACTCTAAGGCATCATCATTATTATTTAAATGAGGTGGAGAAAGGGGAAATAACTTTCCAATGGGCACACATCAAATAAAAAGTGGAGCTGGGATTCGAACCCCAGGAGACTGCACTCTTAACCATTGCTTTATAGTGACTAAAAGCTCTCACTCAAAGAGAAAATATAGGGAAATTTTTCTTTTATTACTCAATATATGTTGCTAGGTTTTGTAATTCTTGTAATTATTTTATCTCTGTGTGGGCTGAAAATTCCTAGAGGGAAGGAATTCTTGGTCTCATAGACTGTGTCTTGGTTATCAGTGGTAAGCTGTGGGCAAAAGTAACATTATTGAGCCATCGCACCTTTTGAAGGCATCCTGATGGTGAACCAGCCATACCCAAGCCCACCTTTCACTACTATATTCCTTCTAAATAAATACGTTCCTTCGCCAAACCCCTGCACAGCATCAGGTAAACTGTTCTACACAGACTCCAAGAAAGTCCTGCTTAGTTTTCTTATTCAGATTGTGACTGAGAGTTGTCATTTCTTTTCTGTATAATAAAGTAGATGTGACAGGTGACTTGTCCCTTTTAGAGTTGAAACTAAAAAGGTACTGAGGTTATTTACAGACATCAGGTAGGTCTGTGGTGGGGCTTCCATGGGACTAACTAGAACTAACTCTCTTACCTTCCCAGTTTACAATCCTGTACAACCCCATGGCCTTTGTGCCAACAAAGATAGACAACGCTGTCGCTGATCAGAAATTCTAGAACACTCTTCTCCTACATTTTTACCTTGGCACAAAATAAAATTATGACATCATTATAGGAACCCAGGACTTCTCCATTGTATTTTTAGAACGTGCTAGATTTTCCCAAGGGTAAGTTAGTCAGTTACTGTGTTAAAGAAAAATCACTGTGGAGAAGCACACAACTTCTTCCATTTTACCTATGTGACAACTGAGTTTGTTCTAGAATCTAGGGAACAAAGTGATAGATGCCAGCTTTAGATGGGGACCAATAATTTTGTATCTAGACTCAAGTCCTTGATAAGAAGACAAAAATTTAGGAATTTCTAGAACTTCTTCTTTTCTATGGGGTTAGACTTGTCAGATGCTAAGAGTGTGTGTGACTCTAGTGGGTAAGAGGCTCATGAAAAACAATATCTGCCAAATACCTTGTAATAATACAATTTGCTATCCAGGGGTGTCCCCTGTTTTGTAACCTCCATTTCTGCCAGGGTTTGGCCAGGGACTACAGGTGTGAGAGGTTGGAAATGCTGGTTAGGTGGAGGTGGTGGCGGCGTTGGGGTGGGAGGGGGGTTGGTTGACCAGAGAAGGATCAGGACTTTATTGAGCAGAGTACTCAGATGAAAGTTCGAATGCTTCCGTTCTCTTTGGTTCTAGTGAGCCAGGGCACAAGCCAGAATCCTTAACTACAAACAGCACTGCGAGCCCCACTTTCCAGCACCCAACCGAGTCCAAGCCCCACCGGCACCAGTCGGTGACCACTTGCCGTCGCCCCTTTAAAAACCTGCTCCGCGGGACTAACGTTCGAACCAGCCCTGTAGCTCCTCCTCGGCCTCCGATTGGCCAAGCGCGGCGCACTGAGGCATTCTGGCCCGCCCCGAACGGTTGGCGGCGCTCTGTGATTGGCGGTCGGGGAGCCTATTTAAGGCGCGGGGGCGGCCGACACCTCTCAGTTGAGCGACGGACCTGAAACTAGACGGTTGTCTGCTGTGGGGAGGCTGAGTGGGGCGGCGCGCATCGCCGAGTCGGTTCTCTTCGGAGCCCTCAGAGGGTGCGCCCCCCGGGGCGGTCTTGTTTACGCCTGACGCTCCCTTTTCAGCTTCCTAACGTGAACCGAGTGGCTCCCTCTAGTCACCTGAGCGCTAGCCCTAAAAGAGAGGCGGCACGATGGAGTTCAAGCTGGAGGCTCACCGCATCGTCAGCATCTCGCTGGGCAAGATCTACAACTCGCGTGTCCAGCGCGGCGGCATCAAACTGCACAAGAATCTCCTGGTCTCGCTGGTGCTGCGCAGCGCCCGCCAGGTCTACCTGAGTGACCCGTGCCCTGGTCTCTACCTGGCCGGCCCCGCGGGGACTCCGGCGGTGCCGCCACCGCAGCCCGGGGAGCCGGCGTCCGGGCCACCTGCCGGCTGGGGAGAGCCGCCTCCGCCGGCCTCCCGCGCCGCCTGGCCGGAGAGCGAGGCGCAGCCGGAGCGCCCCGAGGTCCCCAACGCGCCGCGGGCGGGGAGCGCAGCAGATCCCGCGGCCACCGAGGCCGGAGCGGGGAACGTGGCGGAAGCTGCCGGGGACCGCGTGGACGGACCGCGCGTGGCGGCGGCTGGGGAAGTCTCGGACGTGTCCCTCCGCGCCGACTGTCGCTGCGAGTCCCCCGCGCCACCAGTCGTGTGTCCCAGGAAGCGTGGCGCGGCGGGGGCGGGCGGCGGCCATGCGGGCTGCCCGGCGCCCGGCTCAACCCCGCTCAAGAAGCCGCGCCGGAACTCGGAGGAGCAGAGCGGCGGGGGCGAGGAGGACGGTGAGGAGGAGATGGAGACGGGGAACGTGGCTAACCTCATCAGCATCTTCGGTTCCAGTTTCTCGGGACTCTTACGGAAAAGCCCCGGGGGCGGCCGGGAGGAGGAGGAGGCCGCGGAGAGCGGCCCGGAAGCCGCTGAGCCCGGGCAGATCTGCTGCGATAAGCCGGTGCTGAGAGACATTAACCCCTGGAGCACAGCCATCGTGGCCTTCTGAGCCCGGCGCCCCATGCGGGTGGAGGTGCAGCAGCGAGCGTCCCCGAAGGGAGGGCCGGGCCTCTTTCCGGCTGCGAGGACGCCCGAGACCGCAGGCGCCGAGCGCGCGGGGCGCTGGTGGCCGCCGGGCAGCCCCTGACCCCGGTTTGGCCCTGCTGCCCGCTATCCTCGGTTCAGCTGGGAACCGGGAGTCCGAGGCTGAGTGCGAGAGGACGGTCGTTCTCCTTTGTGTATGTATATGTCTGCGTCTGTAAGTTTGTCTTGTTGAATTGAGACTTATTTTGTCCTTCTGGAATGCATCACCCCTTCCCCGGGGCTTAAGACTTTGGGGACAGACAGGGACTTTCCTCTGCCCGGAGCACGGAGAAGGAAGCGGTGAAAGGCTCGGGGTCGGGAGTTCCCCGCTCGATGGTGGGGGAGGGAGGGACTTCACGCGCCCCTCTCTGGAAGCGAAGCCGCCCGGGGGCCAGGCGTTTCCTCCCAGGATTTCCGCGGGCCGGAGTGGACGTGGGTTCCTTGTCTTCCTCCCACCATCCTCTCGCACAGAAGAAACATACCCCGCGGGTACTCTGGAAAAGGAGTGTCAAGGAACCTTCACTTCCCCCCAGGGGAATAAAGCTTGATGAACTTCACCGGAGAGGTCAAGCTTGCAAATAAGGAGTTTCTAGAGAAAAGATGTATTTTTAAAAGCTCTAGCTCAGAACTACCACACAGTGCTTTTAAAAAGTGTTTAATGAAACAAAGTTTACAGACAGAAGCCCTAAATGGAAAGATCTTATGGTTTTGTAGATACGGTGACTCCAGTCTTTGTTGTATAAAGGTTGGGGAAGCTGATAAGGTTTTTGTACAGTATTTTCTCCTTCGTTGTATTGACTTTTGTATAAAAATGTAACTTACGTGTCTAACACGTATTAAATATTTTGAAGCAACTTCACTGCCTCCTTGTCTATATAAATCACTTGTCTGGGTTTCCAGCAAAGAGGGAAGAGGGAAGCTAAGGCCTAGGCTAGCGAATTGAAGGTGTGGTTCTTAGTATCAGACTAAGGGTATTATTTGCTGACTTCACAAAGTATCAAGAGACGCACGTTGCAGGTTTCACCCCCATAGCATAGGACTGCTATTAGACACACTAGTATGAGAGACTGCCAGTTTCTTGAAAACTGTTCCTGCAACTGCCTTTTTTATAGTCAGTCAACTGAGGTAAATTTGATTTTCTACAGCCCAGCCTGACGGTGTCTGTTTAACATTAGATAATCGAGTCACCAACTTGTGAAGCCCTTCTTACACACAAAAATGTTTTTCACTAAAACTTTCTTGTAGTCTCCTGTTAAGCTTTTAGCTTTGAAGTGAAGTGGGAAAGAAAAAAGTTTAGATCATAGCTACTTTAGAAGTCTATTAGAATCAGAGGGAGAAGCTTATGAGACTGCTTGTCCAAGTGCTCAGGACCACCTCTGCATTCCATTACATGTCCAAGTTGAATTTTTCTTTTTTCTTTTACTACTACAGCTGTGGAAAATAAGTGCATTAGTGAAAGTGAAATTCTGTGTGTCAAACCAGATAAGGAAGGAGGCTAGGTAAATTATGCAGCAAAACTTCCTGATTTGCTTTTGTCACCTAAGTGATGACATCAGTGTTTTGGTCCTGATAAAGCACTTAGGTGATGACAGACAAGTCATTTTACTAAAATTACTGCTTTTAAGGGAGCTTTTTGTCTAAAGCAAAATGTTCAATAGTTGAAAGGTTTTCAATAATCTCTTATTTCAGTAGCAAACCAAGTGGGGAGTGGTGTTTTAAAACGTGGTTGCCAGTTCTTTAAAAGATGGTTCCAGTTTATGAGTACATAGAGTGTTTAAGAGGCAGGAGAAACTGAGGAAAGGGACAAAGCTTTAAGTAAAGGTTACAGCTTTAAACAAAAACAGCTTATGAATGATGCCGTAGCCTTAGCTAAAGTTAACAATTGTATGAACTGTCATTGCTTTGATATTTTTTCAACTCTATTAGTGGTTCCTTAAGCCTAGGGAACTTTTTACGTTATACTCCATCACCATAATAACAGAGAGAGTAAAACATTCTCTAATCAGTCTTGTTAAATTGTCTTGTTTTTCTTTCAGGCATTAGCTATTTAAGTTGTGTTATAACCACCAAAGATCCATTGAAGGCTGACTGCCTAACTGAAAGTGTTCAGGAACTTAATTCTGCAATCATTTCCTGTTGCTAGAGAGCAATTATTATGCTTGAACAGCTATCTCAGTGCATTTTTTTTTAATATTTGAAAGGGATAACATTTGGTGTGTTAAAGACAGTGTATATTTTGGATGAGGCTAAAGATCCTGTTGAGTCTTTGGTTTCATATGATGAACCATGGGACCATGTGTCTGCTTAATTTAGAGAATGTAAATTGGCATATTTGATAGGAATATAAAGCTGTGTAGGAAACTTTAAAAATCCTTATCTTTTTTTGTTGCAGAAGCCATGTAGTGTAATGGTTTAAATGTGGGCTCTGGAGCCAGACTGCCTGGATTATTGTATCAACTGCTATTTAGTTCTGAGACCTTATTATTTCTTCTCTCTGTGCCTCAGGTTTTTCAAATATGAAAGTGGGATAATTGTACTTGTTTCATAGGGTTGTGAAAATTAATGAGTTAATAGTCTTAGAAAGGGACCTCATAACTGCCAGGTATGGTGGTGAATACCTGTAATTCTAGCACTAGGCTACAAAAAGCCAAAACCAAAACAAGTACTTTGTACATAGTATTGTTAACTTGATTGTTAATGTAGAAATTAATTCTGTATATAAATCAGATATTCTGTAGTAAAAGAATTGTGCATATTTGTAGGAAAGGAGGGGAAGAGTGAATCTTTATCCTATCTGTGAGTGTGGGTTCTTTTACTTTTTCTCTGGATGCTTGGCAGTCATGAAGCTTTGTTCTAACTAGCATAGTTTTGTTGCTATGTGTCTCACACCAACTCTCTGACTTCCCTGGATTGTATCAAACAGCTCTATTTTCAGAAAGGAGTAAACAGGAGTGAAAGCTCAAGGAACAAAGTTCTTGTTGACATACAAATGCTTCCTATGATGAGTAAAGAAAAAAATAGTCATGAGTTATTTTTAGCCCAAATTGCTGGGCATAGAATGATGCTTAAGCCATGGTTTAATTGATAAGTCCTGGACAAGAGGCCTCTTGATGCCCAGACAGGGTCACCACACAACTAAATCAGATGTGGTGTGACTAGAAAAGTCATACTTTGGGTATCTAAAAACCATTTTTGACCATTTTGAGAGAGACATGTTCTCTTGATCAAATTAGCCATAGTTGTGGTCTGGATTTCTTTTTCTTTTCTTTTTTTTTTTTCCAGTGCTGGAGATTGAAGTCAGGGCCTCAAACATGCTGAACAAATGCTCTACCACTGAGCTATATACCCTAGCCCTCAACCCCATTAGGTTTTTGGGATTTTTTTTTAACTGCTATGTGAAGGCTAATTGTTTAAAGCTCTTTTTGACAAGTGCACCAAGATCACATTAATAGTAAATTAATTGTAAAGATTTTAGTACAGTGCTTCTCAGTCGTACTGCTTAAACCCGTCTTTCAGAAACCACCAATTCTATTTGGGGAAAAAAAACTAACGATGGAAAGCTTGAACTGCCCCTCCAAAGTGACTTTCTGAGATACCTACTAACCTCCTATTCCTCGTATTCATCACTGATTCCATCTGGAAAGAAGTAGAAGGGAATGGGCCATTTCACAACTTTGGTGGAATGCTTCCCAGAATAAAGATGTAGTTAATATTGGGAACAAAGTCAATAATGACTAAACTCCATTTTTCTATCATTGGGTTAATCTGAATCTCTTCAATTTATTAGGCATGACCGTCTCACTTAGAGTCAGTACGATGGAGTCTAAAGGCTAATACCAACTGTGACAGGGAGTTTGATGGACATTTATTTCCTTACACTTTTTTTTGTTGTTATTGTTAAAGGAGAAGTTAGTTCAGTTCACTGAATAACCAAAGGATTTCTGATCTTTTGCCCTAAATATTTTATTCCTGTCCTGTTTGTGAATTTTTTATTTGCCTCAGCTCCCTTTTATCCCAGCAGTTCCTGAAAGAAGATGGGAATGAAAAGAAACACTGAGCCAACCTTCCCGTGACTATGAAAGGAGCCGTTACTATGAGGTGCAGTGCTCCAGTGGGGAGTGAGGTCGGCTTCCCAGGATTCCTGGCACTCTTTCCAGTAATGAGCAGTTTGTCTCTCAGCCTTTGAACCATTGTTCACATTCAAAATTCTACCCAGTGGAAGGCCTTGGAAGAACATAGTAGAAGCAGAGCTGATGTTAGAATCACTTGGATCCCCTCAGAGTTTTCAGTTAAGAGTACCATAGAGAATGAATATGGTATAGCAGAAAGTTTACAATACACATGTCTAGTTAAATGCCTCCTTCCTCATCCAGTTTTTCCTGTGTGTTCCTCCGCCAATCCCCTCCCCCAGTGGGAATAAAAGTTTTAAAAATAAAATCCCTCTCTAGCAATTGCTCTCCCAAAGGAATATAGGCCAGAGTATCTTTGCTGGACTTTGTCCTGGGGTTTGTCTCAGACCTTTGGAATCCTGCAGGCAGGGAAGGAGAAGTCTCCAGGGACTGCATTCCTGAAGCAGCCTCTCCCTCTCCCCTGCTCTGCAGACCGACAGCAGCCTCCACACTGCATGCTGCCCACTTCTGAGCAGATGAGGAGTGTTGGTTATCAGCTTTTGGAAGCTGTGGGAAGAAGGGCTGGTGGCTATCACTGCCACTGAGCTTCTCCAGCTGGTGATTGTTTCAGGGGACTAGCATAGAGCAGCCCTGTGATGTTCCTTGGTAAATCTATCTACTTAAGAGTTTTATATAATGGAGTGGCCTGGGACCTGATCACAAGAAGCCCCTAGGCCTGTGTGATAAACCATATCCCCTACTTGCAGGATGAAGGTGAGAAACATCTGTCCCTTTCATGCTCATTAACACCAAGTCAACCCTGTCTGCTTTCTCCCTATGAATGGAGCCTCTGCCAGGTTTGCCCAGCCCCGTCATTCCAGTGGATGCCAAGGCAAGGCTCTTCTCCATTTTTCTAGAACTCAGGGCTGTGCTGAAAGCTGTATGCTCTCACCTGCTTATTCTTTGATCCGTTCCACTTCTTAAGTTTTGGGGAAGGGCAGCAGCTGAGAACTTGCTTGCTCTGAGGTAAAAAATCACAAACAAAAGCAAAACCAAACCACCTACCCTCTGTAGATCTGTTTCCTCTCTTGAAGCACAGACGTTGTCTCTAAGGCATAGGATTTCCTGTGGCTACTTCCTATGCTCAATCCCCTTCTTGAATCAAGGATGCCATCTATTAGAATGTTTAAGTTGATCTACCTAGTTGGCTATTTCTAGGTAGTCACATCATCCTTTGTGGCATAGATATTTCTATCAGGGCTGTAGCTGTTTCTGTCTGGGTCTGAGTGTCCTCTCCCCATTCAGAGGGTACTCGCTTTCATCATTTGAGAAAGTCTTGGCTGCCCAGGGAAGAGCTATGGTTGGGGATGGGATAGCTCATTAAGAGCAAAGATTTGCGTTTCTTGACTTTGAGACCAGTAGAGTCTGAGCCCTGGAGATCAAGTCACAGCCCAAGTGGTAGCTGGAAGTTGTCTTCTTTCTGTGCTTCACCAGACCTCCCAATCCCATCATAATAGCAAGGGTGGATAGGGGAGTATCTACCCCCAGCTAGAATAGGGAGCACCAGTAGAAAGCCAGCTTGGCTGGTGATCAGATGTAGGAAAAGAGAGGCAAAGCCAGAGAAGCCCAAACCTGGGTTACGCAGTATTTTTGCACCCTGTCCTTTGCTGGAACTGCATGTGCCGCTTTCTAGACCAGATAATGAATCACAGAACCACTAAGATGGAGAAATCCAAAAACGCCTCTTTCCCTTGTCTCCCCATTCTTGTCTCTGATTAAGAGAGCCTTTTATCAGTGAGTTACTAGAAGTGGGAGAGGGGAGCAGTTATTTGGCATCATGCAGCAGAGATGACCAGCGGGAAGTGAGCTCAAAATTTGTGCGGTGATGGGGAGTCGGGGGAGCATCATGGGGAGGAACTGACACTGCCTGAAGTTCTGCTCAAGATCTGTTTTGGGCCAAGTGAACTTAGGGCAGGAACACACCACCCCACCCACCTTTTTCTCCTTGGCTTTTTCTTAAATTGTAGCTGTCATCTTCTTCAGACAATTTCCAAGTTTTATTTTTGGTTTGGAAAAGGGTGAAAGTTCCTTGGCATCTGCATTTATCAGCTTTCTCTCCAACCCCGCCCCCCTGTGACCTACTTTAGACACTGGAGTGGCTTTTATTTTTATGGTCATGGGAGAAATCACTAAAAGCAAAGATTCTGTTTCAGATGTTGAAGTTCAGGTACATAGGACGCTACGCTGGGGTTGTTATTGCTCTGTAATTTCTGTGGTTTCTCCCCCCACTCCACTCTCTCTTCAAACTGTCTTTTAAAAGGCACTTTCTAGCGTGTACTGAGAGCAGCTGTAAAGATGTGGTGTGTGGGCAATTCTGGCGTGTGGGCTGGACCAGCTGTCTGCTTCATAACCTTTCAGTCACCTCAGCATCAGACATCTGGATTCCTAAATGGACTTTACTGCTGCTCAGGGCTCCTGAATACCCGGATAAGAGGAGAGAGGAGGGCCTCCTACTTAGGCAAGAAAGAGTAAATGAGGTCCAGGGTGAGTAGTTGATTATTTTGAATGGTCAAGTGAGGACTCAAGCAAAAGCAGTGTTCAAATTCACCCCTCCTCTGCTTCCTTGAGACCCCTCTGAGCAGGGACTATGAGCTTGAATTCGAAAATGTGATTACTTGGAAAGTAAAGTCACTGATCTTTCTTGGTTCCTATT